TGCAAATATATTCTCTGCACTAGCAACTGAAGCATATCGGCACATTGGAGGCAGAGGCGGAGTCTTGACTGAAAACAAACTGGGATAGCTCAGTTTTTACCCCTCAAATAAGACTTGTGGGCTCATAGCTTGGTAACCAAAATAACCCAGCAAGAAAAAAAAAACAAAAACCTTACCATAAATAAGAAAACCTTAAAGCTTTAACATCTTTTTATTAAACAAGTTAGACAAGCAAGCAGCAAGCTCGACAGTACTTGCTCGTCAGCTTGGCAGCAGCCATTTTGACTCCCACAGCTGTGCCCACACAAAGCAGCTTTGTGCGGTGCTGTGCTCCGCTAAGGAGCTCGGTGACTGTGTGTGACCCCATCGGTCACAAGTTCTGGCCTCGAGAAAGACCAGAAAAATTGGTGAGTGCCACCTCTTTGTCTCTGTCCACCTCCCCCCTCCCTGCAGCGGGGCGAAGCTGCAAAAAAAGAATATCTGCCTCTTCCCTCCCATACAGAAAAACAGCAAAGAGCACGTAGTTTAAAATCCACTCTTAGGAAAGCATTCGAACACGCGTGAAAAAACGAGTATTTACGGCTTGTTCCGTTTGAAAGGGACTGCCTAACATTGAACTGACCTCTATTACTTAACACTGGGAGTTTAAATGCTTTCAGCACTCAAAATGGCAGCGCGACAGCGCTGGAGAGGGGCCACCATGATGCAGCGCTCAACAAAATGGCAGCAGCCGCTCCGGCACGGCCCTGCCCGGGGGCAAGGCAGGCACAGCTCTGCCCGGCTACTCACATCGTTCTCCGTAACCGTGATGGGGAGCCCACGCAACATGATGGTCTTGCTTTCTTTTTCATCGTTAATATCGTTCCTGTAGTCGTGCTCGCCGTAGTCGCCATCGGAATGGTAGCCGTCCTCTGATTTGTCGCTGTTCCTGCGCTCCCGCTCCCTCTGGAAGCCAGCGCCCAGGATTAGCCACCGCGATTCCCTGCAGCGTGTCCCCACAGTGCCACACGGACACCGGCCGCCTGCCCGGGGCTGGTCCCCATGGCCTCGGGCAGCGCTCCCGGGTTAAACCCGCTCCCGGTGCCCTCCGCCCCGCAGTGCCGGCCCCGGCCCCCCAACCCCGCTCACCTCGGGGCTATCGTAATCGCGGCTGTCGTAGTTTCTATCATAATCTCGGCTATCGCGACTGTCGTAGTCTCGGCAGTCCCGGCTATCGTAGTCCCGGCAATCGTAGTCTCGGCTGTCCCGGCTGTCGTAGTCGCGGCAATCTCGGCTATCGTAGTCTCGGCAATCGCGGCTGTCGCGACTGTCATAGTCTCGGCAGACCCGGCTGTCTCGACTGTCGTAGTCCCGACTGTCGTAGTCGCGGCAGTCTCGGCTATCGCGGCTGTCGTAGTCTCGGCTGTCGTAGTCTCGGCTATCATAGTC